TCCAGCACGAAGGAGCGACGGCAGGTGGGGGCACTGTTGAAGCAATGTGTCGCTACAAGACGAATAAGCACAGAGATGTGAAAATGTGAAGGGAACCACTTCGCAGAATACAGTCTTGAAGCGCAGCGGGATAGGACGAGGTTCGTCAGGGATCGCCAAGCGAGAAAACTACTCAGGCGCACCATAAAATGTACCAGCCAGCGCAACAGCAATGAGGTCTGATCCCTACGTGTAAGTCGATGTCCCTTGCGATGATATAGCGAATGTGGAGGCACCTACGGTTGATGAGGGAGGCCCGAATATAGATGGGAGGCGACGAGGGGAGGACAACGACGAGGGCGAAGACGAGGACGATGTCGTCGACGTGGAGGTTGAGATCCGAGGAGCAAACTGCGGACTTGGAAAAATTTGTGTTCAACATCCCACGGGTCCCACGACACGCTCGATTAGCCACCGTTCGAGATAGAGACACAGTAATCCGTTCAGCGAGTTGAAGCGTTAACCAGTTTTTGTGGTGTAGATGTTACCCGTTTGCGTTTAACCAGGCAGTTACCCGTTAAGTTGATGAACTACAACTGTCACCCGTTATCCCTGATACTGCAACCCGTTCCGGGGTCCATAGTGGCTCCTATCCTCTATCGATAATTCATAGCCTTATTAGCCATGGCCGTGAATGCATGTTGCATGAGGGCTCTCCTGTTATTAATATTAAAGGGATCAAGTACGTCTTGCGATCAGACCTTATGTTCAAGTGAAAAATTTGGCTGCCGGGAGGTTGCCCGCTCGACCGTGTGTAGAGACAGCATAGATACAACAGTCTACCGCTACAAATACCCGCAGGAGACGTCTAGATACCATGTAATATATGTATAGCTGAGCAGTACACATCGTCACCGTCTGCCCTTTTTCTTATTGTGCTTGGGCATTCCCGCTTCGACGACGTCGTCGTCCCGATCTCTATCATCTCGGCCGCCGCCATCATCCCGCCGCCGCTTCTTACCACCATCCTTCCCTCCTTGCTCCTTCAACTCCGTCACCGCTATCCGCCCTGCCTCGTCAACGCGCTCGCGCAGCAGAGCCACCTCCTCGTCGTCCGTCGCCCATAGCTCCATCTTCTTGCCGACGACGGCCTCAATACGCTGGAGCAGCTCGACGTCGTACTGCGTGACGAGCGTGATCGATTTCCCTGCACGCCCTGCGCGTGCTGTGCGGCCCACGCGGTGTATGTAGTCCTTGGAGTGTGTCGGGACATCGAAGTTGATCACAACGTCGACGGAGGGGATGTCGAGGCCACTATGTTCGAGCAGTGAGTAGAAGGAGGGTGCCGGGAGGCAGAAGGAACTGACCGACTGGCAACATCGGTGGCAACTAGCACACGCCGACTCCCACTTTTGAATTTGCTCAAGGCACCTAAGCGTTGGCTCTGGCTTAATTGCCCGTGGAGGGGTACAGCAGGGAAACCTAGGGTGCGAAGTATAATCGAAACCCTAAACAGCCGAAATTTCAGCGTACACGTCTCAGATAGCGGCGATGTATATATACCGTTGTGCATCGTGTACGGTTCTTGTGAATATAATGATAGAATTTTGCGCCAGAGAATTTGCCAGGTAGACGAGATGCACGTCCTTTTTGCTGAGAGGAATGAATAGGTAGTATTGGAGTAATGTCGAAACCGTTTGGTATCTTGAAGTGCAAGTCAGCGGGAGATAAACGGCGATGCAAAAGCGAGGCCATACTTGGTGGAGACTTCCACCCGGACGGGATTAGATAAACTAGCCCGTTGAAGCTTGGCCACTTTGGTAGTCATTGTGGCAGAGAAAAGATACGTATTGCGCTCTTTCGGAATGAGTTTCAGAATTTTGTCGATGATAGGTCCAAAATCCATGTCCAAAAGCCGATCAGCCTCGTCTAGAACCTGTACTGTGTCTCAGCGGAGAACATGTGCATGAAGGCTGTCCCCAACGCACCAGAAATTTGACACTTCTAAGACTGAACCCCTTGGTATTTTCGAGATGATCGAGTAAACGACCCGGTGTCGCGACTACGATGTGCGGTTTCTTGGCCAGTGAAACCGCCTGCGCCATTCTGTTCTCAATTCCACCAATCAAGACTACACATCGTACGCCCATAGAGGATCCAATCGCTTCGAATTGTTGGGATATTTGGTATGCAAGTTCGCGCGTCGGGGCTAGCACGCAGGCAAACAGTCCTTTCGGTTCGTCCCATAATTTTTGTAGGATTGGCAGCGCAAAGGCTGCGGTCTTCCCCGACCCCGTTGACGCTACACCGATGATGTCCCTTCCTTCTAGAGC